ACCGGGCAGGTCGATCCCCGTTTGTGCGCCCCGAAGCGGCGAAGTGGCAAACAATTTTGCCTAAACGGATTGAGTCGAGCTTTTGAGTATTTGGCCGAATTCGATACGAACTTTAATCGATTTTCAATTCTCAATTTATTTAACCAATATCCAACAGTGTATACGTATCAATTTCATTTCTATAGCATATACTCGGCAAATACTTTTATCACAATTATACTTATTCTCTATTTAGTAGAAATCAAAATTAAGATCTTAATATAAATCAAAATCAATAATTAATTTTAAGGTTATGTTATTTGTACATTATGGGTTCGTAAGAATGTCCATAATATACAAGTGGTATAACATCATTGGATGGTTGAAAAAATTATTTTTCAACTCTTCAATCATGAAATTTCATATGTACATTATGTATATCCTTATAAATATCATTAATTTAAATCACATATGTCATCATTTTTTATTAAAATAAACTAAAAATTTGATTTTAATCCAAATCAAAAAGAACTTAATATGAATTTTACCTCACGTACACCGAACTTGACAAATCGATGTACAATTCGAGGGTGCCCACAATTATTATTTTTTGGATGCTGACCCCATCTTGTGAGGGGGCAGTACAAACATCAAAACCCACTCAATATTTGATTTTAAATGACAAAAAATATGTTTCTTTAGAAAAGCATGGATGAATACTATTTCATTTTTGCGATTCCAAGTTGAGGGGGGATGCATTGAAACGTGTGACTATCGAATATAACCGCACAACCATATGCAAACGGGATTTCAACGGTTGGTCACTATCAGACCATAACTGTTGCCACGTGGAATTCAGTGGCTGATGATGACAACTGCAGAATTCCACTCTAAATTCATCCATATACCTTATTTGAGCCCCATTTCTTTGTTTTAAAAAAATAAATTTTTGAACAGTATATTGATAAAAAATGTGTGATTAAAAAATAAAAAAAAATTTTAAATTTACGTGTAATATTATTTTATTGAAGAGTATATGGTTAAAATGATGTCAAAATACTGTTGAAAAATATATTTTTTTAAAAGAATGGGGTTCAAACAAGGGCTAAAATTAAAAAAAAAAAAAAATACTATTTTCATCGACATCATATTCCAATATTGTCCTTATAAAATTCGCTCATTTAAACATCATATATCCTCACCACTTTTACATATCATCCGACTTTAAATTTATCACTGTTACAATTTTAAAATTTTAAAAGAAAAACACTTCATGATGACAGATTTTCCATAAAATATCATGCGCATTCGTCCATTGCATTTCTTTTGCTGTAATGAAGATAAATTATCAAGGAGACATTGTTAATTAGGTATGGCAATGTACAGATATTATCTCTTTAACTTTTTGAAGTAAAATGGTTAAAATTCAACCAAAAAGGTGATTATAAAGACAATTAAACTAGATGCACAAAAGAGAAACTCACGGAGCTCCTCTAGTGGAGTCGGGCCCACGTGGGCCCCAATGTATTAAAAAATGGCCAAAAAAACGTCGACCCCACCACTATGAGTAGTCTATAAAATATTCGTAGGTTTTCTTTTTGTACCTGCAACTCGGTTCTTATAAAGATTAGTGAAGAGCATTTATCCCAGCCTAGGAACTTCAATACGAGCCATACCTAACAAGTTCAGGATTTGCTCCATAGAATTGACTGACAATTAGAAGAATCTGTTGATTGTTACTATTAAGCATTAAGAGAAATTTACACAGTTTAAAGCATTACCCACGTAGTAAATGGTATGTAACACCCGCAGTCACTGACCCAACAATACTACCCTCAATGTCCAGGACTCAATGAATTGGCGGTTTTCGCTAGTGTGATCAAACGGACAAGTTTAGTGCTTCATTTCATAATTCATTTAAAATTTTGAAGGGAATTCATATATAGCTAGTGATGGCAAAAAAATTCGTCCCGTCTTGTACCGACGAGGCACTGTCCCGAATGGAGCAAAAAAATCGGTCCCGAACGAGTTGAAGGGTGGGGCGGGGCAAGGCGAGGTGCCTCGTCTTGTGAAGGGAAAAAAAGAAAAAAAAAATTAAAAATAATTGTATTTTTAGACAATTCGCCCATTAAAAATTCATTTTGAATTTGTATTTTATTCTCTAATAATGGCATAACTCGAAATTTTGAAAATGTAAAAAAATAAAAATAAAGAATTAAAAAATGAAAAAACAAATGGGACAATAAACGAAGGCAAAAAGTTGCCTCGCCCCCGCCCAACCCCATCTAAGGCGGGGCCAGGTGAGGTTTAGACGAGACGAGGCAAGGTGGGGGTGTCCCGCTCCGAACCCGCCCCATTGCCAACCCTATATATAGTGGAAAAATTTAAGTCAAATAATATTATTTGAAAATTTGTCTAACAAAAAGGTTAATTCGCCTACATGACATTTGGATACATGAAACATTCCTTTCACTATGAATGCCAAAATAAGTCGTTCAACTCTCGACACAAAGAGTACTATATTAAAGAAAACTTTAAAATAACGTTCGACGTCCATCCATCAACCAAAGTACATACTCAACCAACAAAGTCTCGTTATCTCATCCCATATTATTTATGGTCAAAATTGTGCGCCAAAACCTCATTCCACATAATTACTTCTAACTCTTTCTTCTTATATGGCCTTGCTGCAAATACTTCTTATCATGTGCTTGATAAGATACATATTTTCTCAAAAAGTATATGCATATGAATGTTTATTTTCTCAAAAAGTATATGCATATGAATGTTTCTCTTAAATTTGACCGTGTAAATTTACAGCTTTCAAAATTAGATGGGATAATAACACCACATTTTCCTTCACATGGGTACATAAAGCAAGATATCATGCAATTCCCATGAACTCAATTCTCCCCTTAAAGGAAAAGTCTGTGTGTATATAATTTATGTACATAAGAGTGTACACAGCCCTTCACATAGAGTGGAACCCACGCCACAGATAAGCAAGATATCATGCAATCTCCATGAACTCAATTCTCCCCTTAAAGGAAGTCTTGGTGTACATATGGGTGTCCACACAATGTACATAAATTATGTACACCGAGCACAATCTTTAATTAAATCCACCCTTTTCTACTCTGCATCGTAACTATGGTTATACTTACAGGAGAATATATATAAAGACTTGGATAACAGTGGCTGTGATGTTCTTTTATAGTGATGTAGTAATTTCAAATTTCATTTTGGTAATGTATTAAAAATTGAATTTTTATATATTGTGAGGTATTTGTGATGCTTTCCCAAAACATTATGGGCACAACACAGTCTATGAAAGTTTAAGATAATTATCACAAAATATCCCTATCTTTCGATGTTTTTATGGGAAACGTCATTACCTTTCATTTTTGGCGGATTACATCCTCAACTTTACCTTTTTTTGCGCAAACGTCCTTCTGTCAACTCTCCGTTAAAATGCTCTGTTAAATCCAAAATGTAATTAGAACAAAAGGTCTCTACCTTTTAATGTTATTGTACAAAACGTCTCTACCTTTCATTTTTTAGCATAATTAGCAAAAAATGTCCATACCTTTCAATGTTATTGTGCAAAACGTCCATACCTTTCATTTTTAACATTTTCACCCCTACATTTCACCTTTCATTGCTCAAAAAGTTCTTTTCATCCATTTTTTAATAAAATGACGATTTTACCCTCCTATTGAAATAATACAAAAAGAAAAGAAAAATAATAATTAATTAATTGCAACAATAGTCCTAAATATTTCAAAAGATTACAAATAAATCCTAAATTCTCCATTACCGCCACTTTCACAACCCCACCAAGCCACCACCTATAGATCCATATAGCACCACCTTTCAGCCACAACACCTATTGGACTCCATCACCACCAGCATCGCCTCACTCTCCCCAATATCCTCCATAATATTGGTCACCAATCTGTCCGAAAGAACCACATTTACGGTGGTGGAGTCCGTTGGGCATGATAGCCGAAATGTGATGTTATGTGAATTTATAATTGGCAGCTTGATAGGTTGTGAAAGTGGTGGTGGTTGAGAATTTATGATTTCCTTGTAATTTTTTAAAAATTTAAGGACTATGATTTCAGTTAGTAATTCATCTTTTATTTTTGTTTTATTTGAATAGGAGGGTAAAGTCGTCATTTTATTTAAAAAAATGATGAGAATGACCTTTTTCGCAATGAAAGGTGAAGGGTAAGGACTTTTTGCACAATAACATTAAAAGGTAAGGACATTTTGTGCTAATTATGCCAAAAAATAAAAAGTATGAACGTTTTGCACAATAATATTGAAAGGTAGAGACCTTTTGTGCTAATTGTCTTGATTTAACGGAACATTTTAATGGGAAGTTGACAGAATGACGTTTTGCGCAAAAAAAGATAAAGGTGAGGATGTAATCCGCCAAAAAACGAAAGATATGGACGTTTTTCACAAAAACATCGAAAGGGAAGGACGTTTTGTGCTAATTACCCGAAAGTTTATGCATGCCCGGCCACTACAAAAATTTTCCCAGACAGCCCACTTTGCACCTAAACCTTAGGCTGTTTAACTCACGTTATTTCAAAAAAATACATTCTTAAATAGCGAATTCACATTACTTCAATCATACATTCTTCAAATAAATAATATTATATGTAAATTCAAAATTTTTCTTTATTTTTTAACCACACATTTCTCATCACCCACTATGAATCAACACAAGATTTCTCCATCCGACTTGCACAACCATCACGTAACTTATTCTGAAAGTTAAAAAGAATAAAAAAAAATGCAGCATAATATTCCCTTCAAAATGCAACAAAATTTACACACAACAAAAGAGTGTAAAGCTCTAAAATAGTTTTGAATAAATTAGAATATAAAAACAACGCTATCGTGCACTCTGGATTTCTGGTTCTGAGCAACACATTCAGATATCCACATCAAGTTCCTGATCTCCTGCTCCCTCAACCTCATGTAGGCAAAAAACACACCATAATGGAACTGCAATGACATAAGAATACAGATAATCAATTCAACACATGAAATTGTTAAATAAATTAATAAAGAGCACCAAGTAGACTTGTGAAATGTTGTTTCTAGAAAATAATAAAATAAAATTCTCCATGCTAATTAGTCATGTTTAAATGCTTTAGAAAAACCATGTTATTATTCCTAGGTGTAGAATTCTCAACTTTTTAATTGCCAGCTCTTAGAAACATACCTGCTGCTCAAATGCTAAGCAAAGCCGTTTCACCTCCTCTTCGTAAAATGCCTTGTCAAGCATCTGGCTTTCTCCATAGGATAACTTTGAAAATATGGACTGATAAGGAGGATACTTCTCCATGACACCGCGGACCTATAATTAAATTGTTGAACAAATAATTAATTACTAACTGCAACAACCAGGTATTATGAACCAATTGCAGGTTACTATAGAAAATGAAGCTCGAGGCAGAAAAAACTAAATATCTGTCCTGTGATGCTAAAATAGAAGGACATGGCTCGAAATGGAATGCAACCACACAGTTATGAGCTGCTTGCATAGCACAAAGAAATAACACCAATGGATCACTGACCTCAGCAGACACTTTAAAATTTATAGCTCCTCCATCCCTCCCCTATTTATAAAAATCTCATTTTTCGTGTTTGTTACAGCCCTTATGAGTGGCTTCACTCCGTCTCTTCCAGTTAACTCACTTGGAAAACAAATGATCATTCAAAAGCCTTTCAGAATTGGCACTAGATCATCAACGCTAAGAAGTAGACTCCCTATAATGTCCAACAACAACAGCACCCCTTCTGCAGGTTTTATAGCCTTCACACTCGCCCATAAAAATGAAAAAAATTACTCCTTATGGTTACATACTACAACAGACCCCACTTGATGCTTTTGGCAATATAAGTTCTTTTACCAACAACATACAAAAGCAAAAAATAAAAAAAATAAAAAATATATAACATAAATAGGCATCATTTCATCATCCAACATTGGTTAAAATGAGAAACTTTTAAAGGGGGCATTTCAAACAATCAACACCTCCTCCAATCTTCATTCTGAGACAGATCTTTTTTAGGGCGAAGGTGAGCAGTTTCTTAGGCAACAAAAAGAGTCAAAGATTTAGTAAGAGCAAAGAAATCTTCATGTATCCAAAGATTATAAGACAGCAAAAATTCAACATAATTCAAACTATTCTATGATTTATTGACTTAACATACCTGATCTATATCCTCAGAGATTGCGAGTTCCTCGTGACCGTAGGGATAACTAATTAATAATTGCACCAATATCAGTTTCCAGAAAAAAGGAGCTCCAAGAAGTCATTTTCAGTAGTTAAAAATAAGGAGAAGCAGATGCAGAAGCTCTTACAGTAAGCCAAAATTAGAGTACAGTTTTCTACGATCATCTCGTGTAAGCTCAGTGCCAATACTGCAGATTCAAAGTCATGACTCATATGGAAGGGTCAAAATGAAATGCATTATGAGAACACTCAAAAGCTTCACACCAATAATTCTAGAACAGTGACACTACCTGTTTATGGTGATATTAACAGCCCTTCTATCAGCCTCAAAAGCTAGAATGTCAGACATAATCTCCGAAGTGGCGCCGCCAAGTTTCTATTTAAAAAATTTTCATGTTAGATAGAGTAATGAAAAGGAAAATGCGAAATGCTGAAACATACAGAAGATAAAGAGAGAAAACATTTTTTAAAATTCAGGAACGAAAGGCTTACTTGGCAAAATCTGTAGAAATCCTGAAGGTATGCTTTGTAGAGGGTATTCCTCATAATTTCAATGTTCATGTCATCCAAATCCTAGAAAATATCCATATAAAACCCCATTAACATTTCAAACCTTGTTTTTGCACAGTGTTCACTAACAAGAAGACATGATAGTAAATAAATGCTGACAAATATATTCCATTCTACTTGTATTATTTTCTTTTTTCCTTTGACAAGTGAATATACTCGTACTATTTTCAGTGAAATCTGATTGCTTTGCCTCTATTACTTCAACAACATTAAACTGGACCTGGTACCTCTGAAGTTATGCACTCGGAGAAATATGGTGCAAGAGGTGTGTCAACAAGCACCAGTCTGTAAAGCTCCCTCATATTCTGAGCAACTGCCAGGGTAGCAATGCTGTAGAATGAATGGAAGTTTTTTTCGTTACCTTTATATAGAGCGCAAAATGTTGAATAAAGACATATTACCTGTCAAACATTCCCAAAGGGTGACATTTCTCCAACAACTCTTGAACATCTCTCTCATGCAACGTTCCAGTGACAATTAACACGACATTGTCAATCATGTGACCATATCTGCACAATATGTAGAAATACTGCGTCAAGAATGAAATTTCTAGTTTAATTTACCACAAGTGATTAAAGGATTCCGCAGCAAGATTCCACCTTATCTCCGCCACAAGAAGCAAGTTGCAGAATAAGCTTGATAGACACAATTTCTTGTACCTATCACAACCTTATTTGTCAACTGGACATACTTTCTGCAAGTTTACATGAGTGACCAACAATCTGCACTTCTAGCAAGCATCATGGGAGACTGCTTTAAATTTCTTCATTTAGATTAGCTATTTGAGCATTTAACTTCATATGTCATTATATCTTGGCCTGTAATTGGCAAGAAACTATTTTCTCTTTCAGTTTTGGCATAATACCAGATTGTCAACTTGCAGACCAACAATTTGCACTTCTAGCAAGCATCATGGGAGACTGCTTTAAATTTTTTCATTTAGATTAGCTATTTGAGCATTTAACTTCATATGTCATTATATCTTGGCCTGTAATTGGCAAGAAACTATTTTCTCTTTCAGTTTTGGCATAATACCAGATTGTCATTATATCTGAGAGACACATATCTACACTCTATGCCTCTATTTGTCTTTCATTCTTTTAAAACTCTTTTTTCTACATACTCATTTTCAACCACATATTTACACAATAAAACATTTTACACTCAAACACAAAACTTTTCCTCACTTTTTAATCATACATTCTCCAAAAATTCACTATTCAAAAAAATGTTTTTCTAAAAAATGGCCACCAAATAGGGGTTATATGCACAATAGTTCAAGAGTACTTAGACAGCATTAATAAATATTTTCTTATTTAAAGTACAAAGAGAAACACTTATACAAAAATACGGTCATATATACAAATAAAACAAAGATAAAAAAATATGTGCACAATTACACACGTGCTAGCAGAAAGAGAGATTCACATACGTGATATATTCTAAGAAGGTTGATAGGGGTTCTGTGGCTTGGCACAGCATTTGCTTGTACTCATCGACCAGTTTAAGAGTGCACTTTTCCACTATTGTAGTTGTATGCAATGGAGAGGGCTCTGTAAGTCAATGAAACAAACAAAATCATCAAAGTGCTCTAAGTTGGAAACATCTACCAATCCCATAATACTTGCAGTGCTTCAAAACAAGCTACAGCCTAGCACCATTCTAGCAATCCTATCTACTTCGTAAAATTAACTTATCTGCGGTAGATACTCAATATGATTTCAACTACTGTAGCTAATATTTTCATTGTTTACAAAAGCTATTTGATATTTACCGCTGGAATCATACATCACATGAGTCTTACATAACGCACCTCAAAGCTTACTCCTTAAGCACAGCTTCAAGGGGATTAAGGCGTTCGCGTAATAGTCTTGCATTTTCCGTATATTTTAATATTTTATCACAGACCTTAGCTTTTCCTTCTTGGACTCTTCTTTATAATCAGGTTTTATTTATTTCTTTTCCCTGCCTTTACATGAAAAGGAAATGAAAAGGAGAACACGTGATGGCTAGTGTAGGATGATGACAAAGAATAAGAAAAAAAATATCATTGAGGAACATTGAAAGGAACATTATGTGATGATTCCCGTAAAGATTCTAACCTTTCTACTGTTTTTATTATATTACAATTTTGTATTTTGGCTCCTGTTTGTTTCTCATTTTTGGAAGAATGAGAATGAAAAATATAGTCGTTACGGATCCACACAAAAGATAGAAATTCAAATTTGGTGGTTTGATGTGATGTATAACGGTTATATTTTTCATTTTAATGGGAAACAAACAGGGGCTTGATTTACTTTGTTAATCTAATTTAAGTTTGTTTGCAATTTAAACTTTTAATTTTATTAATTTGTCCAATTATGAATTTCATAAAGATAGGCTACATATATTATGAGCAAATTTTTGTATTTTTATATCCTTTTGAATTATTTTGTTGGTTTTTCTTCACGTTTATGTCTCACCTCATGGATATAAAACACCTCAGTACCCAATTAAGCCTTTCTAAATTGCGGCTAGCTTATGTAAGAAAAATGTAAAAAATATAAAGTGAAAAACAGCCTTTAGAGAAATGTTCCCTCTAGATAGAAATAGAAAAATATGTAACACGTTCTTTGATAATACAAGAGTCCTTTCTCAATGCACATACACTGTAAAATTTAATACATAGACAAATCTTGAGCAGTGTGATGTTTGATTGAATCTACCTTAGCTACCACCAAAATTCTCATAGCTACAGCTGAAAGTCATAACTAACTAACGCAGATTATGCAAACGAGATTGATTGAATCAGATTATTAGTTAACACACTTCATTACTTCAAAAAATCACTACAGACCAACATTTCAGACTACACTTACATAGTCCATCAAAAAATATCAAATCTCAGCAAACCCTAAAAAAAAAAAAGAGTTCGAAAATTGAAATGATGGACTCGAATTCTCTTCAATGGAGAATATTTGAATCCAAGTGTCAGCTAATTCATAAATTAGCTTAAAAATCACTAAAGCTAAAGAATTTCGTGTAAACTTATACAATTCATCAAATAAACCAAATCCCACAAACATAAAATAAATTTTGATTATTAACTAAAAATAAAAGAGGCGAAATATACGGACCATTTTGGAGGTAAGGCCCGTACTCAGTGGCGGATAGGTGCATCTTGATGTCTTCGAGGCTTTCGCACTGGCAGAGGTTATTGTAGTCGGCAGCGGTGAGAAGGCCGGATCGGTAGCCACGGACGATGGCCTCTAGGTACCCTCCATGGACGTTGAAGGTCAGCGCTTCGAATCCATACATTTTCTCTACAGATCCGAAGCGAATCGAACGAAATTAAAATGAATAATTGAATGAAACCCCTTCGAGGAAACTCTAAAGAAATTCTTTTAGGCAGGGATAAAGGTTAGAAATAATGACGAAGGGGAATTGCAGAGATGGAGCTCAATCGGTCTGTTATTTGGATCACAAATTCGGTTTGAGAAAATTAGGATCAGGTTCTCTAACTTCGTCAAATACAACATTTAGATCCTCACACCCAAGTCGGCGTCTTACATCTATTTAATCTAACCTGATCGAATCGAATCTAATCTAACCTAACTACATATAAAAGAGGCAGTAGATGTGTTACTGTTCACAAGCATTAGGGTCGGCTCACAAGCCAAATCTTAGGTCGGCTCAACTATTGGTGTTTTTCGATGGGAAATATCATAGTGTCTTTGGGTTGGGAAGTCTTGGAGTTAAATATTTCATTGGTCACTGAATTTTATACTATGTCACGATTTACTCATTGAACTTTGTGAGTTGTCCCATTAGCCACTAAATTTTCCTGTGTTAGTGTCCATCACTCACCTGACTGGATGCCGTTTGAATTGTTGCTGATGTCGAGGATGGAATGATGAGGTGTCCGATTAACTCATGAATAGTGCTAGTCGAACAGGCCCCTCATACAGACTCAAAAATAGGCTTTCAAAATTTGCTTACGTGTCTTTGTCTTCTTGTGTTTTGGTGGGAAACAAAAAGAACGGGAAAGAAAACACACGTGATTTGGTGGGAAAACACAGGAACTATATAACATTTTCCTCTGACTTCCTAAATTACTTTCCCCCAAATAATTCTTTCAAAACAATCGGCAATATTTCTTTCAAAACCACCATCCCTTTCTGTCTGTGTACGAATTCAGCTCCGTCGAGAAATATATAAAGTCGGACAACGACCTCCCCGACCATTTGGCTACATTCCGGTGACCCTCCGAGACCCAACCTACCAAGATAAGAGTGAAAAGTCAGATTTTTCGAGAACTCATTTGCGATTTTTGTTACTTTTTAATTTTTTTACTTTGATTATGGATTAACTTATGTCTTCATTCATTGCGCTTGATCTCTGATTTATTTATGTGAAAAGTATAGCATGGTGTACCAAAAAAACCCACTCAATAGGTATAGTCGACTGAACACTGTAAACACTAGCACAGTAGTTTGCTGCGTTGGGAGCTGAAATTTGAGACTTTTTGGTTATATAATTTTTGTTCAATCTAAAACTGGGGAAACTAAATCTTCTATCTTGTGAAATTTTTCTTGCTATTGTCAAATTTCAAGGAGGGGTACTTCATAATGTAATTGTGTAAGTGATAGTGAAAGGTTTTTCAATCACATTTTTTGCCCGTAAGAATTCATAAAGTTTTAACTTGATTTTCATGCTTTAACATTTGAGTATTAAATTTGAGTTTGAAGCTTGAAAACATAATGTTATTCGCTTGTCTAGAATGACATGAAGTTCCCCATTCAGTATAATATATCTCATTTGTATTTTGTATTTTTATTATTATTTCCTCCCATGACTCGATGTGTTAGTATTAATTGAGTTTGCGAGTGTCTTGACTGCTTGGTTTTATGCATATCCAAGAAGGAATAAATGATTTTTAGGAGTGGACTTCAACTTATTTTTTGGTTTAATATTGCAGTTTGCATGGGTTGTTATACTTTTTTGGACTGTAAACATTTGTGATATGTGGACAACAACCTATTAGTTCAACAACATCTTATTTAACTTTTTATATATGAATTGAAATAAATGAGGATATGAATCAAACAGACTGCAATCCACACCAAAAAATTTGGTTGAATATGACTGATTTTATGTTATTCGTAGTAGGTAAAATCATGGACAGCGGTGAAGACAAGGATGACGATGCCTTTGAGCCATTTGAGAATGAAAATGTGACAAAGTCGATGAATGAAGTGGAAGGTGAAACCTCAAGGGGAGATGGCATAATTATACCCGAGGTGGGAATGTTGTTCAAAACTGAACAAGCTATATATGATTTCTATAAGAGATACGCTTACACAGTGGGCTTTCCAGTTAGGAAAAGGAATTAAAAAAAAAGGGGACGATAGAGTTTTGAGATTCCTGACGTTGACATGTAGTCGCGGAGGTGGAAAAGTTGGTAATAGTAGCGGTTCTTTAAAGCCGCAACCAACAGTGAAGATGGGTTGTAAAGCAAGGATATTTGCATCTTGTGATTATCTGGGAAACTGGAGAATTAACGCAGTAAACCTTGACCACACTCATGACACGAGTCCCTCAAAATCTAGGTTATATCGATGTAACAGACAATTGAGTGCAGCTATGAAACGGAAGCTTGAGGTGAATGATTTGGCAGGAATTAGGTTGCATAAAAGTTACAACTCAGCAGTTGTAGAAGCAGGTGGGTATGAAAACATGACTTGTACTAAAAAGGATTGTCGAAACTATGTAGAACAAGTACGGAGATTACGACTTGGAGAAGGAGATGCTGTAGCAATTCAATCTTACTTTTCCAAGATGCAAGCTCAGTGCTCGGGATTTTACTGTAGTATTGATTTGGATAACGAGTCAAGGCTGAGAAATGTATTTTGGGCCGATAATCGGTGTAGGCAAGCGTATAAGGAGTTCGACGATGTTGTTTCATTTGATACCACTTATCTTACAAATAAGTATGATATGTCGTTCGCCCCTTTTGTTGGGGTAAATTACCACAGACAATCGACGCTACTTGGTTGTGGTCTAATATCAAATGAGGACACATCTACTTTTGTATGGTTATTCAGGACATGGCTTGAATGCATGAACAATCGAGCTCCGCGAGGTATCATTACCGATCAAGATAAGGCAATGCAAAATGCAATTGAGATTGTTTTTCCCAATACAAAACATAGATGGTGTCTGTGGCACATTTTGAAGAAGTTTCTGGAGAAGTTTGGCTACCACGAGGATAAGCATTCGATATTTCGGGCTATACACAGATTGATATATGATTCATAGTCCATTGAAGAATTCGAACACGGTTGGAGAATGATGATTGATATGTATGGCTTGTGTGACAATGATTGGCTATCCGGATTGTGGGATCATAGGTGTCGTTGGGTTCCTTGTTTCTTAAAAACCACATTTTGGGTTGGGATGTCAACTACACAGAGAAGTGAGAGTATGAATGCATTCTTTGATGGCTACGTGCATTTGAAAACCTCATTGAAGCAGTTTGTGGAACAGTATGAACGTACCCTTAGAAGCAAAGTTGAGAAGGAGTTTCAGGCTGATTTTAAGCCGTTCTCACAGATGTTACCATGTGCAACACAGTTTGAAATAGAGAAACAGTTTCAGTCAGTTTACACAATCTCAAAATTTCGTGAAATTCAACAAGAATTCGCGGGAAAGGTGTACTGCGACATGTTGTCTGCTTCGGATGGATGTGTTGGTGCGACATATGAAGTGCGAGAGACTATCATGTATGAGGGTTCTCGGAGGAAAAAGACATTCATGGTGTCACTCATGAGAGATAGCTGTGATATTGTTTGTTCATGTCACCTATTCGAGTTTCGGGGAATACTTTGCAGACATGCGATCATAGTGTTGGATAGGAATGACGTCACACATATTCTGGAGAAGTACATACTGCGAAGGTGGAGAAGAGATATTCCAAGGGCACACACGAGGGTTGCAGTCAACTACGACGAGTTAGTTAGCACTCCTGCACAATTGAGATACGAAGAGATGTGTAATAGTTTTGCGGAGGCGGAAAATCTTGCTGCAGATGATGAGTATTGTTCGCGTTTGGTAATGGAATGGATAAAAGTTCAACATGAAGAGCTTATGATTACGAAATCGAGTGCACGAAATAATCCTGTTTCACAAACAATTGCTCATGTGGAAGATCAATGCACTGACTTACCAAATACCGCCAATGTGAGAGCATTGGATCCGAAGTTGACTCGAAGAAAGGGAGCGCCAAGGAAACTTAGAAGAAAAAGCCCACTGGAGATTGCATCGAAGAAAGCGAAGGTACGTTGGATCGAGTAATTTCTAAACAAGCCCACTATTTTGAAATATAAATTAAGATTACCTTTTATCCACATGCAGCCCGGTTCGACATCGAGCACTTGTAGAAGACCGAGAGCAAGCCAAATAAATATTAGTGATGGAGGAATCAACGTCGAGCCACCTCAACAACAACAACAATGTGTGTCGACACCAATGACCTTCTCCATTCCACAGTACTCTATCCCCATGCCATTCTCTGTCTCCCAACATTTATCAGCTGCACATTTCATCCATCCAACATTGGCCAACTTTATGTACACTTCGCAAGGTATTCAAGTTTCTCTTACATATGAATTAAAACTTCTTTTCATAAGGATTGACTCATTACTCATTTTGGCTTGTCTGTTAATGCAGGTGACTGTATGCCGTTATACTATCCAAGCTTACCGGACGAAGATAGAAGAGGCTCGTGACTGGATCTTTATTGACCTTTGATGATTTTTAACTTAGTGAGTTTGGAGGAGTTTGTCATTTTTATGCATTGCTATGACCGATGAAGTTAGTGGATTTTAGAATTGTTGTTGGACATCGTTTGGTCGTATTTATACTATTCAACTTTATGTACACTTCTGCATCTGTATTGCTATCTTATAGTTTCTAAGTTTTAGTTATCTTTCATCATTGCTGCCATAACTATATCTTTTACTGCTATTATTGTTGAAAGAATGTTCCTCACATAGTTATATCAAATTTAAAAGCAAAAGTATGATTATCACTAGAAATGTAAAATGCCAAGTTTCATCTGTTGCCTTTAATGATCTTGGGTTCACTCTTCCATTTGTCCGACTTGGGATTTATTAAAATTTAAAGAATTATCGACACATATTTGCTGTTAAACCATCAGCTGCTTAATGATGAGCTATTTTTTTCTATAATTAATTCTTGCTAGTAGAACTCTATAAAGCACTTATGATCTAAATCTTCATTTGATCATTTCATTCGGAAAGTTAACGGGTAGATCGAGTCCTCCAATGAGTCTGCCAGTGTCCGAGTTGGAGTCGTCGAAATTGAATATGATTGGTGGTTTTTTGCACAGAGAGTGAACTGGATTTGACGATGAAAGCAAAATACAAAGGAAAAATGCTGTGAAACTGTTAACTTTTGAGAAATTCATGGCCACTTGCTTTGCTTTACTTTGCTTTGCTATGGTTTCAGTGGCAGTGTCTGTATTAGTAGTGGCTTTATGTTTTTGGCATAGACTGCAACCTCTAAATGTAGACAAAATGTATGATAAATTTTCCATGCAGGCAAGTTCGACAAGCAAAACGTTATAATTGGGCTGCCACCAGAGGGGTAAATGAAGACATGCTACTGGAGAATTTACCTGAAGACCTTCAAAGGGAAGTACGGTGTCATCTTTTTAAATTTGTTGAGAAAGTATGTTCCTACACACCAAAGAATGGATTGACACGAAACAAAACTCTAGAATGAGAGAAATCTGGCTAGAAGAGAAGTCTATTGGTTAGTTCAAAGTTATGTTACGACCCAATCTTTGGGTGATCCTTTAATATTTGTCCCTTATTTGATTAGTATTCTTCATAACAGGGATTAATAATTCTCGTAATTTTTGGCTTTCGTTTTACTTACAAAACCATACAGCACGAGCTACATGATATGGGCTAAACAAGATTATGCATACATAATTTAGACAAATACATAGAAATGTTTCAAATTACTTCTAAAAACCAAAGTTGAGATAACAATATATTCTCATACATAATTTAAGACTACAAGATTTCATAACGAAACTTAATAGTACAAGGGTACGAATACATAGAAATGTTTCTACAAAAAACTCGTTCGACCACTATCTTCTAATCAAGCTAGTTGTTTTCCTTTCGCATTCCCTTGGGTGCTCACTTTTTCAGTCCGAATCGTCATGTTCACGGAAATCTGGAGCTCGTCCTCGTCACTAATTCGAACTCGAGATTGGAACGAAAGGGACATTTCTTCCACTGTTTCAGTCTTCACAAGGTTAATAAGTTTCGCACTATTGCCTGTAGATGGACCGCTCGATTTTTCTTTTATAACCCAGTCCCAAAATCCACAATTGTTACTGCAGCAAAGGAATAATCTCCCTTTGGATTCACCCTCCTTCTCCACTACAAAACATTTCTCAAATCCATTCTTACATAGTGTGCAACAACGTTTTTTTGGGCACTCGGCGAAGAAGTGATCTTTCGCCCCACAACTGTGACATATTCCTCTGTTCGTTCTGGGCATTCTAAGATGGGAATCAACCACCAACAACAAAGGTAAAGTTAGCAATCTAACAATTCAATATACTTCCAAATTCACCTGTGGCTTTTAGGAGGTAAATCAAACACGTTCCAGCCACCATTTTTCTCCATGGCTTGCAATTCTAGTGTCATTGCAAAATTTAATGGGTTCCAAATTAACAAATCTCGTATCAAAAAAAAAATCATAACAATCAAGACTTACTTACAGCTCTCGGTGGTGCCCACAAAGACACTCACAAACTCAATTAATCAACAAAAATCCCAAATGGGTTCTCAAAAATTTCCAAACTAACAAATGTGCAATCAAAGTAAAAAAATTCATAGTAACAATAATCCCAAACAGATTCTCAAAATATCCCAAACCATAACAATAAACATAAAAATTGCTGAAAATACATGTAAAGAGAAGTGTAGAGATTGCAAAGCACAATTGTCGAAAATTCAATAAACAGGACTAATAACACACATTCAAGACCCGCACACAAATATGTCAGCAAAGGCGAAACTAATATGGAACCCATTCAAGTTTGCGCACAAATTTGTCGGAAGCCCTAGTTCGAGATGACGAAATAGACAACGTCTTACCTGAGACCAGCTGAAAAATGATATTACTTTCGTGGGAAGCCGGGATGGAGACCACACCGACCGATTCTTTTATGGCGGTATTTTTTCGGCCACGTTGCAAAGCTCACGAAGTGACGAGGCAGAGCCAACTGCGGTCAAAGATGAAGGTGGTGTTGATGGGGACCGTATATGGAAGATTGGAGATGGTAGTGGTTTCGGAGGATTTGATTTGGGGGTTTTCTTTCTCCCAAGCTTCAGATAGCTAGTGGAGAGACGGTCACATGTTTTTTGTGTGGGCTTGCTTGTCAAATTTCAAACTTAAATGATGTCTTTTTTTTTTCCCTCTTTTTTCAACACGACACGTGTATCTGTTTTTTAGTTGGTCATTGAGGCTGGCTCAGTAGCAGAATTGTTAACTCATTCCATGTGGTAAATTTAGTCCCATTATTGCCAAATCAGTTCCCCGTCATTGCCACATCAAAAAATAGTCTAGAACACATCTTTGACATGTAAAACCAAACACGAGTTTGTCCATGAAATCACCAAACCCTAAGCTCTGGAAATCAATTTCCCCCAAATCAATTCTCTCACTTGAAGTCGCCGTGGTCCTCAAATCCATTCTTGTAGTTCACGTGGTATCCCAAATGGGTCGGTTTCGAAAGTTGAAGAAACCAGATGTCTCGGTGTTGTTAAATGGGTCGTGGATGGTTGCTGCTGGGGACTCTGGGACAAGGTTAATGGTGGTTTCTTTGTTAGAGTTGGTCTTGGGTTCCGAGGGGAAGAAGAAAATCAGAGAGAATTTTTTTAAGGGACAGTGTGATTATTCAACTATTGTTGATGAAGTTGGATTTTGTTTGCGTATGTGAAAAATCTGCCAAAATTGGAAGATGCACAGCCACGATAAATTATGTGATATCAGTTTGGGGTTTTTGATTTTTGGTAATGTTGCTGGAAATTATGTGGGGCACAGATTCTTATCGTCCTCTTTTTGTCCAAATACGTCCCGAACTTCTGTTACCTTCTTTTTAATGGATGGAGAGAAAACAAGCATTAAGATCTAGTGTTGCTCATATTATAAATTTGGATTTACCAAAATGAGTTCAATATACAGCTTTAGTCGCTGAACTTGATGCAATCAAATGAAAACTACAACTGAATACCAACAGCAATTGAAGAAACTAGAAACAGCATGATTTTGTCATGAGGTTTGTTATTAACAGCAAGCTCAACAGATACAGTCAAAGGTTGATCACAATCCAGATATGAAAAGTTCAATAGTAATTATCCCTTAACAACTGAGACATGCCTTAAACGACTTCTAAAACACTTCTATCTATTGTTACACTACAAACTGCCAACAAAAACAAAATTTCTTCGAACTTCATCTTGCTTCATATTATGCAAATTAAGCTGATGTGTGCTTCCGCGTGTACACAATGTGAATTTTGCTTTTGGCTTCTTCGAACTTCATCTTGTTCTTGGCCTTCCCGATATGACATTCAAAGAAGTCACCTCATCTATGTGTACCAATTCTCCCCCCATTTCAATTAAGTTGACGTCCTCAATTGGCACATGAGCTGCAACATTTGGTCTGTCTTCGTTTACATTTTGTTAGCTCCTGGTCTGCAGTGAATACATCCTGTTTGTCCATGATACGCCACCATGGGGGTAGGCATAAACTGGAAACCCATCTCTTACACAGGAATTTCGGCTATAGATGCTCCATTCGCAGTGGCTGCAACAAATTTCCCCTAAGGCAAGAATGAAAAATCAGTTTAGATTTTATTTCCAATTGATCTCATTCTTATAAACAAAATGTAATAAAAAATCTGGTCAAACTAACAGCAACGCGCAAATAGAATACCAGAATTACTAACATTAAAGACGGTGAGCAGTGAATGATAAAAGGCAAAGAAATTGGGAAAAAAATTATATCTAACTATATTTGGGCATATATTTTACAAGTGAGAACGGTAAAAAGCCTCAGATTGCACTTCTTGACAGCAGGAGCAATAGCACGAAATTCAAATGATGATTTTCAGATCGTTTAATAAAAATGAATGTTTAGTTATGGAAACTATGAACTCGAGAGTTCGAACAATATAAAGATTTATATTGGTTGGAACGAAAGAAACAGCATGCTTTTAGAAAATTTATTCATAAGCACTATAACTAGAAACTGCTGAAATATATTAGACAAACCTGCAAGCATCCATCTTCACAGCCAACAACCCAAAAGTTGGAATTTCCAGCCAAAACAGTGACCTTTCCAGAAATCCTATCAGATCAAAGAGTTTGTGACCCTCTTTCGCAAGAAAGTTCTGTTTCTTTCATCATGAAAGTACTTCTAGGCACTACAATGTCATTTACTGCATGTTCTCTCGGATGAGCTTCCAAGAAACTGGAATTTTATCTCTCCCATTCTTTCTGATCAATTACGTTTATTGAAAGAGTACTACCGGAAGTAGCATAGCCTGTCTGTTCAACGTAAGCAATTCCTTCTTTACCAAGAGGTTCTAAAACCTTCTCAACGACAAGGCTCTCAGTATCAGTCACTCTAGCTGTGGCATCAGATCGCTCCCTCAAATTAGCACTCCCACTTGCTGCTTTCCACCATAAGTATGCATTACCTTATTATCAACCTTCATTTGATCTAAAGACGTCTTAGGAAATTCAGAGACATCACATTGAGCATCAACGAAAATTCTTTCACGTTAAAATAAGAAAAAATTGGTTGAACAATTCAAACGGATTCTGTGAATTAATCTAAGTGTTGGGAGGAAGAGTACAATTACAATTCCCAAAAGAAACCATGTAAATAAATATTTTTCAGATTTGTAAAACCCATAAATGTCATATGAATAGCAACTTCAAAATTTTCTGATACGGGAATAGCAACTGCAAAACCTAAAATAGCAGCTATAAAACCCATAAGTGTCAGATGAATAGCAACTACAAAGCCCAAAATTTTAAAACCCATAAGCTTGAAATTTATCTTCGTGTTGTTCGTCAATTGAGAACTACAGAAACGGAATGGGAGCTGCTTCTTCATGCTTGGGCGTAGGCTATTTGAGTACTTAGCAATGGCGTAAAGGACCTTGATTTCGAGCTCAGGGTTTAGATGTGGGGGATTTAGGGTTTCAATTTCGATTCGGGTTCATTTTCTTCCCTGAAAGTTAGCAATTTCGGTGAGTGAAATTTTATGGAGGAAGCCTGTTCAATGAAAGGCGTGTAATAGAGTTGGGGATGGCGTGTGTTTAATAATGATATGGTCGATGATTTGACAAATCATTTAACACTTGTAAAGATTTAACTAGGGTTGGCAACGGTTCGGTTATGGGTCGGTTCGGCCAAAATCATAACCGCACCACCAAATTTTTGACCATACCATAACCGCACCATAACCACGTAAATCGGTTCGATTCGGTTTGATTTTTATCTCGGTTCGGCACGGTTCGGTTCGGTTAATAACCACGAAAATATATTATTTTTTATAAGTTCATCCGTCAAATTGATATAAAACAATTTATGAAAAAAGTCAATGAAAACAAAAACACAATATTCCAAACGAAAATGCAAATATTATCAAACAATATTCCAAACGTAAATGCAAACATTATCCTAATTTTCAATTGTAAAATACAAATTTAACAAACAATATTATAAATATAATAATACTAAACTTTTCTTTCATTTTTAATTGTTGTGCATCGAAGTTACTTGATGCATTCTTCCCTACAAGTCTTACTAGCATAGATCAGCATTCAAAGTTGATTCCTATTCATTCTTGGCAATATTGGCACGTCTAGAAAAATATCGAACTCTGTTTTTACATGATCAGCAGTAATAGAATGACTAACAAATGTAACAAATTTTCGGAGGCGACGACGATTTGGACCGTAGGGACAATGGAGCCGTGCGTGAGTTTGTGGTTGTGGAGAGTAGGGTTTGCATTTATATACTGTCATACTAATGCTATTATGGACTAATGGTAAGTAGACTGGCCGAATGAGTCAGGTAGATGTAATGAGGAGGGGAGGGATTTTGTTTTGATTTAGATAGAAAAGTAGTGTAAAGCCCATTATCAATTCATTTTTTTTAGCGGGTAATCGGTTCGGTTTCGGTTCGACGACGTAAAACCATACCCGCACCATTACGAACCGGTTCATTAAAATCAAAACCATATCCGCCCCATTTGACCATCGGTTCGGTTTTTTTCGCCCCATTCAGTTCGGTTAACCGCGGTTTTCGATTTTGACGGTTCAAATTGCCATCTCTAGATTTAACCGGCTAGCTAGATTTTCCGTTTGCCCGTAGACACGTCAATTAACGTATATGATCCGGTGAGTAATGGACATTAATGGATTGAACTTCAGTGATTAATGAGATAAGTTTGAAAGTTCGGTGAGTAAGTCATGACATAGGTCAAAGTTCGGTGGCTAATGAAACATTTAACTAGGAGTCTTGGTTTCTAGAATTCATTTCCTTCTGTGTTGCACTTTCCTCTTTCCTTTTTGTAGATAGATTTGAAAATCTTTTCTTCTTTAATTTTCACGGCAGCCCGTCTTTTGTAGCAATTTATTTCCTACGTGTTTTTTCTCTCCACTCTTTGTAGATCTAGAAACTCAATTGAATTTGTTCGTTTACAAGTACGATCGCTCGTTTTCATTGTTATTACTGGTTGTGAAGCTTTTTTTAGTTTAGTGAAGGCTAATTAAAGGTCGATACAGGCCAAACTTCATTTGTATGAGTTCCATCCCCCCTCCTGTACTGTACTTCAATTCAGGAAAAGATTGGAGATCGACTTACTTTTGGGAAGATGATGTTTGTCCCATACCTGGTACCACTAAGATCGAGAACTTGAACCTGAATATTCAAGCTTTATCTGTGAAATTGACACCCCCCAAGAGATGGCTAAACTCGAATCCTTTGCTTCTGCCAACGTAGTTAAGGGCGATAGACATGCTTACCTGGCAAACACATGGTTAAACTCAGAGACTCCCCCACCATCCTCGTGGAAGCCCGAGTAGGCACCTCCTTTGCTCTTTCACTTTGAGTACTGGACTGATTCTTAGAGTCAGTTAAATAAATGACTTTGTGTGTTTGCTAATATGTGTTGAATTCAGAGTTGTTTCTGAGAAATTTTATAATTGATTTATGCAAAATTCAAAATGAAACTATTTTTTCCAATTCTGCTGTACTATGTCCCTTTCCCCAAGTTGCACTTTCTTATTCTTATTCACGTAACATCACACACAGCTCTAGGGTGTGTTTGCTAGGATACTTTCATTTTGTATTTGTGTGATAAAGAGAGTTCGAAAAAAGCATAATTTTAAGGGAGAATTGTTATTTATAGTGAGCGCATGCAATAATTATCTTATGTGATGATTTGTTTTTCGAGCCAATAATTATCTTATGATGATTTGTTATTATGGTGAGCAAATGCAATAATGATCTTATTTGATGATTTGTTATTGAGCCAATGATTATATTTTATTAAAATGTATATTAAAATTATTTGGTATATGAAATTATTTAGCGTGTTTGTTTATTTGTTTCTATGTTTGTCAAATTTCCTTTGAACTTTTTATATGATATTGAACCATGTTTATTTATATCGAATATACTGAGGGATATAAGTTTTGAGTATAGGTAGAAAAATGGCTTCAATGTCTAAGAAAAATAAAAGACGAAGAGAAATGTGCAATGACAGTGCAAAATTTGGAAAATCTTTGCATTTTGTCGAGTTGGAAGGTATCTACGTCTAACTACAAGAGGAAACATATTCGTAACATATTCTTAAAAATGTTATTTCCGCCTTTGTGTCAGTTTTTACATTCATGTTTACTTTCTTTTTCTTTTTTTTCTTTTTTATTTTTTATTTTGATAACTAAGCATAGAAACTATTATACTTCAATACTCATTTATAATATTTGTTCTATATACTTTATTCTGATAAAAAAAAGATATTTTGAATGATTTTTTTTTCTCTTTTCTTTATTTATTTTTAAGGTGAACTTCTTTGCCAAAAATTGTACTATATTGCGTTTAACATACAAAATTGTAGATTTTTGTTAGAGATTTTACTTTTTTTCCCTACGCAAATTTCATACAATATTGATGTATTATTTTTTCTATTTTGTGTGGCTTTAACATTTGAAATGATTCTGCAAAATAAAAACTTTGCAGCTGCTCACCAATTCAAATTCAATTACTCTCTTTCCTAATTGTGAAATTGAAGATGATCAAGCAGGTAATAAAATATTTTATTTATGGTGATCACATCTTGCTTTTCATGGTGAAAAGATCATGTTTTATATGGATATATGAATATGATTTATTTACTGTGTTTAATTTATGTTGTGTATCATTTTTGCGTCTTTCTTAACACATGTTAATATAAGATCATTTCATACAGATGACAAATTGGTAGAATCAGATACCCCATTTAAAGAAAGTGCATGCCTCATTTAAAGAAAGTTTCTCATCTATATGCAATATTCTCATTTTTTTCCCAACTTTGTTGTTATGTTTTCTAAAACCATTGAGGATTATTATGAGCAAGCATATAATAATATAATAATACACAAAAAGAACTATAAATAATTTTCATATATTATATCTCATGATTTTTTTTGAAATATTGTAGAATGTTTTAGATAAGCGAATTTTTGAAGCATTAAATTTATACTAAGCAAAGGTGCAAAGAAGAAACTACATACAAAATAGATGTAATGGGATATACAGGGACACATGGAGTTGCTCTGCTGCATAGGTACAAGTATGGTGGAGTGGATCATTCATACCTAGCCAAATATGTGTTGAATCCCTTTTGGACTCGCTATGTTATGGGATATACAATGGCACATGGAGTTGCTCTGCTGCATAGGTATAAGTATGGTGGAGTGGATCATTCATACCTAGCCAAATATGTGTTGCATCCCTTTTGGACTCGCTATGTTCATTTTTTCCCCTTTCATGAGTATATTTTATTTTATGCTCAAGTAAATTGCATGTCTAAATGTGTTTTTTTGTTTTTGTTTTTTATGGTGTCAATGTTAAAAGCCAAAAGATGCACTAATTATGTGACGCCGAGTACAATAGAACAATTGTAGGAGAAGGGGAAAGGGAAGAGAAGAGGAGAAAGGAGGGAGAAATAGAAGAAGAGAGGAAGAGGAAAGGAGATAGAAATTAGGGAGAGAAATCAATTTATTTCATAATCAAAAGTTGTCCCCATTACATACATTGCATAGATATCCCTTTATATAGGGTTAAACGTATGATAATTAAAGTAGGAAAATACTCTAAATAAATGACTAATTATGTTTCCTAAAATATGCATTAAAATTGGAAATTAAATATAATGATATCCCTTCTAATGTTGCATCATTATGTCTTAGAAATTTCTTAAGGTAAAAGTTTCCATACTTTTTGTAAGATAATTTGAGATTGAAAACCCAGAAGATGCACTAGTGTATGAATAGTTTGCTTATGTATTTCATGGAAAAAAAATTGAGTCCAAATAGGGAAGCTATTGTTTTGGTGTGATCAAAATGTTAAATGTTTATAATTTCTTAGGTGGGCTAACCCCTCATGTAAATGTGCTTATGATCTCAGTTTTATGAAGTCTTCTAACCTCGAAACTTGTCTTAACTATAAGGTCTAGAAATATTTGTTGGAAGTAACAAGAATCAATGAAGCAATCTTCCCCAATTAATGGTCAATGGCATTTTCCCTTTTTGTTATTTCATCCATAATTTGGCAAGATCTAACTTTGTATGAAATGGAAGGAAAATATTTTATTGTCGATGAGTTTGGCTGTTCTGGAATCACTCTAAGACATGAGAGCATAATACTTCTTTGTGTTTGATTTTGTTTTAAAAGACAAATTCCGAGGAGGCAGTTGTGCAACTGACGATGGAAAGTCAAAGCCGTGATCCGCAGTGGCTGGAGCTGTCTATTTTGTGTTTGTTTTCTCAAATTTCTTTTTCTTCCTTTTACAATTTTGTAGAAGATTAATAATGTAGGTGCCATTTTTCTTTTGACCACTAACCATTAAGAAGTTTTGGAAGGTGAAATAACCAATTTCATTTGTATTTAATGACTGTTAATGGTGGTGAAGAGAAGGATGTATAGCTTAACTAAGTTCTTTGTTACAGCAGTAAAATAGAACTTCTGGCCTCGTGTTCATGGTATTTGGGTATTTTACTTATTATACACAGCCTTGATTTCTTAATACACAGTGTCTTGCTCTCTGGATTTTTCTTTTTTGTTTTCTTCCTACAACTTAATATGCAATAATTCATGGACTTTGTTGTTCTCTTTTACTTCAATACTTAGTGTATATCGTTTGGATCGGAAAACTGCAGCATCACAATCGTGATGGTAGATGGAATTTGACACGTACATTGAAGTTTTTTTTTTTTGCTTGAAGGGGGTTTTTTAAAGAGAAGGAGATCTACGTTTATATTATTGATTTTTGTTCTTCGTTCCTTAATCTGTGAGAAGTAGGACTTTAGCTCCCGTGATTGCTTTGGACGCTTCTCCAGTGTTTCTTATTTGTGTTTAATCTCCAATTTCTCTTCCTCTTTTTTATCTCATTGTCAAATAATATTTCTGATTGCAGGTTTGCCAGCAGTATGAATTTTACAATAACAAGAATATGAGCAGGAGTGTAAAGTTTGCTACCCTTTTGATTACGTACGAGGTATTATTGAAAGATAAGGTAGTACTCTCCAAAATTAAGTGGAACTATCTTATGGTTGATGAAGCACTCGAGTTGAAGAACAGTGAAGCCTCTTTGTACACAACATTATTGGTATGATGAAATTTTGACTGAGTATATGCTTGGCTCATATATTATACTTCCGAGGTAGGTACATAGTGGGGATTAGATATTTTTCCACAGGAATTCAGCACAAAGAACAGGTTGCTTATTACTGGCACTCCCCTGCAAAACAGTGTTGAAGAGCTATGGTAATAAATATTTTGATTCTAAGAACCTATGCTATTTGGCCATCACTTCATCTTCTAGAATCAATTGCTTCCATATCTAGACAGCAGACCAGTGTCCTCTTGAATTAATTTTAAAGTTTTAGTGAAAGCAGTTCTCTGTCCTGAATTTAAGAGAATGATCAAGAGTCTAACTTGAAGATTTATTAGAAGCTTCATTCTTTTTGGGCTCTTTTAGGGCTTGGAGAAAGGAATATTTGTGGGGTTTCTTGTATTCATGGTGAGGGATTACTGGGAACAACTAAAATGTTCTTTCTCTTTTATTTGTCTGTATTTTGTTGGTCCTGCATGGTTATTACAGATTAGTGATCTGTTGTAGTTATTAATTCTACATTTCTTGTGTATACATCTCGGTGTACACCAGACCTCACTCCCAACATCTCTACTTGTCATACTACTACATCCAAGTATGGCTTATAATAGTTCTGGTGTTTTGCTTCATATTACTACCGACAATTTAAGTACCTGTGGACAAATATTTTATATAGTCCAACGTAATCATCATTCAGAATAGGTTTTATTCGTCATTCAAATACTACACTACCAAATTATAACATTATTCCTGACGCTACATAGCCTACTATACGTGCACCGCACCTGCCTTCACTAGTTTATTTAAAAGGATTGGTATTGGGGTTGTTTTATAGATACCGTGGTATTTCGTTTTAGTAGTGTATGATTCATTTGTTGTTCTCTTAGAGAAAGGAGATTTGATTTGTTTTTCATCGAACAAAAAATGTTGAGGACATCCGAAGGGAATATTTTGTTGTTTTTTTTTCGCCCTGTTATAATTTGTCAGGCCCTCTCCTCATTTAGCCAGCTGGCCCATTGGGATAACAACCTTCGGGCTTTGCCTGGCCTTTGCAAAATTTTGACCCGCACTGTTTTTCTATCTAAGATGAATTATTGTCTCAACTAATTGGAGTCACGTTCAACCATGATTAGGATAATCCTTATTGTGAGAGCTGTATGTACTTGCCCGTGTAGTTATCACTATATTGGAGAAGTATTCATGCCTTTCTTGCACACAAAAACTGCCCTACTATATCTTTCATATACGAGGAAAATTAGGTCAAGCCATAGTTGAAAGTGTAATTGAGGACGGTATGATTAGGCTCCATATAGTTCAACATAACACAACGGCATATCCAAGCAAACAATTATACCTGAAAATTGGTAAATGTCGAATTCCCCCAATACTTCAATGCACTAAGTCATAGGATCTTGCTACAGTTTCTTTATCAACATTAGCTCGTGAAGAATTTTGATAATTAAATTCCCTTATTTGTAGAACTCTTAAAGAAGTAGCCCCATTTGGCAGCAATTTTTCACTCTAAAAAATAATTTTTTGACAGTTATGTCACTATTTCAGTTATCATTTTTTACTTCTTCACTCACAAGTATGATACACTCACGGTCAAAAAATCAATTCTCATAATTATTACCGAACAAGGCCGTAGGTTCTTTTCGTGTGTGTGTGTGTGTTGAAGGGTCGAATAAATTTTTCTGGCAAATTGTACTCACCAAGATAACCCGTCCATTTTTAATTTTTGCACTCAAGAACAATCCATGGAACAAAAACAGAAGATTTTATTTATCAGACACCAGTATTCAAGCAAAGATATAACTGAAAAAAGTTGCATAAGATTTACATTTTACAGTAAATTCTACCTTGTTTTCCCTTTATCTTCTAAGTTACATTCCATGAGAGTTTATACGACAAGTGTGCTTCATATGGACCTGTCCGTTAATGGTTACTGATTCCTCAAAATCTTGAGTTCTTTTCACAGTTGTTGGAGCACACATTGGACCAACCTGTAAATGTTGAATAGCACAGGCAACAGTAGCAGAAGCAACCATATTTCTTCATCTGCGCTTGACACATATCACCTCAGGGATTTCACCTTCCACTATGCATACGGGGAGCCTTCGACTGATTACTTCTCTCTATGCCATTGACATTCTATGTAAGAAAACTTTTTTTTCCTTCAGCGTTTTCTATAATTTTCTGAATTTCTAAGAATGTAATATCATGTGTGTGTATATAAAAACTTTGTGCTTCTTTTGGTTTTATATGTTTTATCTTTAATTGTTACAAATGGAATTTGAATTAAGACAGCACCAGCAATAGATCCTATGGGTAGATGTAATATTAAGACAAATATTTCCTACCAGCTTTGGAACCAAATTATGCTTCTTGGTTTTGGAGTGGCTTAACGATGTAACGACGTGATATTATTAAAGATGAGTAATTAGAGATAATTTTTGTTTATTTATATTCATTATATAAATGAATTTTTCAACTGCTTCCAGATTCCCTCCCCCCCTTTTTATGTGATAGGTCATAGAAAGACTAATAGAAATATACTCATGCTAGAGCACTTCTAGGATTCTTCATCCAAAGTCGATCAGTTTTTATGCTGTTAAGGTTGGAATTCAGTTTGTTTCCAACACGCGATGTTTTCAATGGAATCAAAAGATGTAATATTGTTCCAAATATTTTAGAAGATTGAGAAATTGTTGAAAAGGAATGAAAATGAATGGCAAGTTGACACTGACAGGACAATATAATTTTCTTATCACACATTGTTCTCTTTCATAATCATATCTCCAATCCCCATTTTCATCTCATTCTTATTTTCTGTATTGAACCAGAAACACTAGCTAGTGAGAAAGAAGATGGTATATCCCAATTTATGCCAAAAGAAATTCTGTTTCTAAGCCTATTTTGATAGGATGAATCTCAAGAGAGTTTGATCCTTACTCAGGATGCTTAACACATGCAAGTCAAATGGGAAGTGGTGTTTCTACATTCAAGGATTTGTATCGACCTTGAGGTCCTTTTGTAAGACCAGCAAGAAATTCACCATTTACCTGTGGAGGCGATGAGATGGCTTTTGTTTTTTTTGGAGTAATGATAAAATTCCATTGCATCCAAATCAATCCGCCTTCCGCCTAAGCTACGCATGAAAGGCCCCAAAGCTATTTCTTTGGAAAGCTCTTACTAAGATGAGAAATTCTCCGATAAAGCTGCTTCACCGTTCCTTGGGACTGGGAAGTAAGTAGTCCAAAACAGATTCGAGTCAGAACCCAAAGTTCGTTTTCTCGAACTGAGGATGGGTTTTTGGAGTTTTATAAACATGGTTGATCGTCACTACACCTCAAATGTTAGTGGAAAGTGTGACCACACCTGTCGTTCCAACCTAAAAATTCCCTTTTCAAATCTATTTTTAAGAAACCGAAAAAGAAAATTGGAAGATCTGAAGAATATTTCTCGTTCCTTTTGCCATTGAAACTTTCAGTTAAACTCGCCATAACGCACTCTTATTTATCAACTTTATATTCTGGTCGAGATCAGCGTACCAAATTTGGTTTGTCCAAAAACAAAAGGAGCGGTTTTTGCAACGTATTTTGGTACACTCTGAACTAAACTCTTTACTACACTGCTAGTGAAAGATGGACATTTTTAAGTCATTATATGTTGAATCAAGGGAGAGACAATTTTAAAACAGATGAATTTAGTCACTTTTTTTGTTGTCTTACTTTAGTACCATTCTTGCATAAATTCCTCTCTGCTCTTCCATGGTTTATTCTCTTTTCCCCCATTTGCTTATCCCTTATCTTTTTCTTTATGCAAAGGATCAAAATGGTTCTATAGCTATTCAAATTACTCAGTTCGAGAAGAACATTTTGAATTGTACAAAAAAGTAAACCAAAGGGAATTTGGGAATTTTTTTAACCTTTACAAAAAAATTTCTAGAAAAGTTTATAACAATCTCTGTAATGCTCTACTTAAGAAGTTCTCCTACATCAAAGTTTGTATACAAGGAAAGATTTAAAAATATCATATATGTAGCAAGGAAATATTTATTAGCAAATAGTTTGTTGGAATATTTTGAATGATGAATGAAAAGTTAGTTACGTTTTGAATGTTCACTACATCAGTTTCATCAATTTGAATGCATGTTGAATGCTGTCAGTTTCATCATTTTGAATACATGTTGAATGCGTACGAAAACATCAGTTTCTTCCCATTTGAAATATGTCGGTTTCACCATATTCATTCATCCATGTTGTAACTCCCTATTCAATGTATTTATGAGCAAGCTCCTCCTATATTGGTATAAATAGAGGATCACTCTCGGCTAGAAATACAACAAAAAAGAAAACACAACAAAGAAAAAAAGTTTAGTTTCCTCCTCCATTTCCAGAAGCCCCGGTTTTTTTTGTTTTTTTTTTCTTTTCTTTGCTAAAGTTCTTTGAGAGATAGACACAGCTAGTTCGTAGGTCGGTAATGTTGTGCAGCGTGAACCGTCAACCGATTGTATCCTGGGAATCGAACACCGATTAATACCTCTTGCACCCCGGTGAGGTGGCGAATTTGATTTAACGAAACCGTGTAAACACGGGCCTTCAGTTTTGGTTGATTTATTCTGATTCTCCAATTTTTCCCTACAAGCTTAAATCGAATTCTCATTTCGGGAAATTTTGAGAATCGGTTTTTTTCTTCCAGTTGATTACTGTCGTCTTTTTTTTTTTCACCTCTAGTTGTTTGCTGTTTACTTAATTTGTCCTTTAGGAAAAAAGGCTGACAATCTATCTATTTAATTACGTGCAGTAAATTTATTAGGTTTAAATCAGTAAGGTCGAAAGAAGGAAAAAAAATTGGTTTACAGGAAGTTTCTTAGTTCATGCCTACGTGGTTTTGGTTCTACAGTTAGGTGGTTTTGCATGGTTTATACTTTTTTTTTTGTCTCTGCATGGATTATGTATAATTGTCTGGTATATAATTTGCATGATTTTATCTCTTCCCTCTGCATGATTTTCAGAGATTGTGTTTTGCATGATATTAAAATCATTCAATAATGATAGTCAATGATTGCCTCATTAATGTAATGATTACTTGTTTGCATAATTTTAAAATCATTTGGTAACTATTTTCTAATTATCGGTAATAACTGCCCATTATTGCTTGATTTTTCCTTTAATATTTAAATTTCAGTCATTAGGTAATGATTTTTAATTCAATTTTAAATGATTGTTAAGTTGTAGATATTTGGACAAAAATAATCTGTTCTACAGTTTATTTTTCTCGAACAGATAACTTGATCTCAAATCTATAATTATTCTAAACTGTTTGTTGCGTGTTCTAAAGTTAAATGGCGTCACATGGAAATGACGATGTGAACAATGGAAGCAACACTGTTGGGACCGCTGTGAACCCTGTGGAGACCTCGACTGGCATTCCTCTTGTTGATGGGACAATTGGTGGCGGGATTCCTCTTGTTGGAATGAACCCCACTTTGCCTACGGCTGCTGCCTCGGCAATCCAGTTTGGCACAATACCTTCGCCAGTACCTAGGGTTGCGGCCTCGGTACATTTGCCATCGTTTCCGGCTCCATTTCCGGTGAATCATGCAATTCAACCGGATAAGTTTGCTGGTACTGATTTTAAGACATGGCAGAATAAGATGATTTTTTATCTTCCCACTTTGGGCCTTGCATGTTTCCTTACCGAGGATGCCCCTGTCGTGGCTGAAAACGACACTGATATGTATAGGCGTGCATGGAAAAGTGCTGATTTTTTGTGTCGCAACTATGTCTTGGATGGCCTACAGAATTCTCTGTATCACGTGTATGTGGTAAAGAAATCTGCTAAGGAGCTTTGGGAGTCCTTAGAAAAGAAGTACAAGACCGAGGATGCTGGGTCTAAGAAATTCTTAGCCAGTCGGTGCATGGACTTCGAAATGGTTGATTCACGTTCAGTGGTGAGCCAAGTGCAAGAGTTCCAAGTGCTCTTGCAAGAAATGCATGCTGAAGGTCTGATCATGCCAGAATCTCTACAGGTGGCTACTGCTATTCACAACCTACCTCCTCAGTGGAAGGCTTTCAAAAGCTATTTGCAGCATAAGAGGAAAGAGATGTCTTTCGAGGATTTAATTATCAAGCTGCGCATTGAGGAGGATAACAAACGGGCTGAACGTAAGTCAGGGAATTCTTACTCTGAGAAGGCCAATGTCCTAGAGCACAGCCAGAGTTCTGGTACCAAGAAAGGTCATTCTTTTAAAGCCAAATAGGGAAACGAAAATTGGAAAGATAAAAAGCAGACCCAGAAAAGGTCTTAGATGAAGCCTACCGGTGGAGTAGGAAAGAAACCCAAGTTCCAGTTCAACGGGAAATGCTTCAATTGTGATAAAATTGGGCAACGATCGGCAGACTGTCGTCAGCCTCGGAGGGATAACAAGCAGCGTCCTCAGGCTAATATGGTTGGAAATGAGAGAGATCATCTCTCAGATGACATGTCTGACCTAAACCTCACGGTGGTGATTAGTGAGGTTAATCTGGTGGGGTCTAACCCTAAGGAGTGGTGGCTAGACACTGGAGCCACTTGCCATGTCTGCTCCAACAAGAGCATGTTCACTACTTTTGCACCAGTTACAAATGGTGAAAAGTTGTTCATGGGAAATTCTGCAAATTCTGAAGTGCTTGGCAAAGGCAAGGTAATCCTGAAGATGACCTCTGGCAGAGAGCTTACTCTGACTAATGTGTTGTACGTGCCAGAGATTCGCAAGAATCTGATCTCTGGGTCTCTTCTGAGCAAGAATGGTTTCCGCATGGTCATTGAAGCGGATAAGCTGGTGATTACCAAAATAGGAGTTTATGTTGGGAAAGGCTATATGACTGATGGCCTGTTTAAATTGAATGTAATTGCTGTAACCCCAACTGTTATGAATAATGAGAAAACTCCTTCTGTTTACTTGCTTGAATCTCCTAATCTGTGACATGGTAGATTAGGTCACGTAAATTACAATGCATTACGTAGACTAAGCAAACTAAACTACTTGCCTAGGTTTCAAATTGATTCAAATCATAAATGTGAAACCTGCGTTGAGGCTAAGCTTACTAGGTCTTCATTTCATAGTATTGAAAGAAGTACCGAGCCATTGGGACTAGTCCACAGTGATGTGTGTGACTTGAAATTTGTCCAAACAAGAGGCGGCAATAAGTACTTTATTACTTTTGTCGACGATAGCACGAGATATTGTTATGTGTACTTGCTTAAAAGCAAAGACGAAGCTATCGATAAATTCATTCTTTATAAGAATGAAGTTGAAAATCAACTTAGTAAGAAAATAAAGGTGCTACGAAGTAATCGTGGTGGTGAATATGAATCACCATTTGGTGAATTTTGTGCTAAATATGGAATAATTCACCAAACTACTGCACCTTATTCACCTCAGTAGAACGGAATTGCTGAGCGTAAGAATCGAACGTTAAAAGAAATGATGAATGC